CTCAGCTTCCTCTACAATATCAAAAAATAAATGGTCAAATATGCACTGTCGTGTTTATATTTCATTGACTAAAAATGCGTTAGAACGCATTGAACTCTAAGACGAGTTCGTTCAGAATCAGCTACTTATCGCAGGTCAACTGATGCGATTTTCTTCTCATACGTTCCCAGCTCTCAAGGAGAACGTAATGGCAGACAATGCTATTTTTGTCGACCTGATTTTGGCGAAGCCATTTGATAGTCTTCCTCACGAGGAGAAACTTAGTTGTTGATCTGCCCTGCTGTTCAATTCTAAGATTGACTTGGTGCAAAAGATAGGGAAAAGTAACAGGTCTTTTCAGCTCTCCTGGTATGACAAAGTTAGCTGACTGACTGGAAGTGCTGTGCGTCCTAAACAATCTCATGGAGCAGATTCCTCTGTTTTTCAAAGTTGGAAAGCATGCGCTTCTTAGAATTATCCAATCCAGGGAAATTTGATGAAATGAGACAAGAATTTCCAGAAAAGGCATTCCATAGTGTCCTGAAAAGTTATGGCCATTTCTTTGATTCAGAGAGACTGAGGTCTGAATTTCAAGTCCTCTATTCAAATCGGGACTTGCAGGGCAACAGGGGAAAGCTGTGTGATTTCTTGGTGTTTCTGAAAGACATGGAGTTGGATAATGCAATGCCTCTGCTGTACAAACTGTTGTCATTAGTGGCAACTATTGGAGCTACATCTGCAGGTGTAGAGAGGAGCTTCCCCTGTTTAAAGCGGCTCAAGTCTTACACCCCCAACACAATGGGCCAAGTCCGTTCAAGCAGCCTAGCTCTGCTGGCCATTGAGAGGACACTGGTCACAGACCATTTTCTTGAGAAGGAATGGAGGGCAGAATTTACATATAAATAAATTAACATATCTTATGATGTAAGCTGAAAATGAGCCCCTCTTTGAAAAATGAGCAGCCGCCACTGTAAAGGACTAGATAATATATAGCGTTAATAACATGCCTGGTCTCGAAAACTCAGAGTCTCTAACTCTATGAGTTGACATTACTTGGCCTGCTATTCAACCCTGTGGCCACTCACTGCATGAAAAAAAAAAACCTTCCACATTCCTGTGCGTAAATTTACCCATGGCAAACAATGAATTTATGACCCTATTTCTACTGTGTAATCCTGCGCAGTTAACTTCCCATTTTATGTTTTTAGTGGCCTCAACAGATTACAAAGCCACCTTTTACTGAGGTTGAAGAGATTATGATTCTTAAGGTGTACAAATTCTCAATTTAAAGTTGACAGTCTGCACATCCACATGTACTGAACTGTGTAGCCTTTTAAAATTGTGTCTCTGTCCAAATACTGGTTGACCTAACTGCGTTTCAGTATACTGTACACCTGGCTGTGTTAATGTAAAACTACACAGTGCCAGGCCAGAATTGCACTAAACTCTGTAAAGTATGCTTCATATAGTAAAAGCTCAGTGTCTGACCACAGCTTGTGCAATGACTGTCTAATTCTCAAACTAAGGCACCTAAATGAAGTAATGCTATTCAGGCAAAAGACTTTCAAGTTAGGAAGTTCCACTAATGCACCAAAGTCAATTAAAGTAAATGCAAAGTTTTTGTTCCTTCATGCATTTCATATTGCACATGGATTATGTGGAGTCAGTCCATTTACAATACAAAAATAAATTACAATAGCCTGTCATTCCGAGTGCTGTCCCAGACCTGGGGTTGGCAGCTATGCACCGAGGTGTGTGGCATATTATTGAAGAAAAAAATATGTGGTGAGGCTTTAAGCTCTTCCACAGAGACCATTCACACCAATGGGAAATTTGGAGTCTCCAAGTAGCATGCATGTCGTTGAACGGCGGGTGGAAACCAGAGTACCTGGAGGAAACCCACGCGAAAATGGGGAAAACATGAAAACTGTGCACAGAAAGGCCCCAGGCCAGATTCAAAACCACAACCTCTTGCTGTAAGACAGCAGTGCTGACCACTGCACCACTGTGCCACCCACCTAGAATCACCATTACACACTTCATTCTTCAGAAAGGATTGTGTTTTTATGCCGCATAAAAAAATATCACAGCAGGTTACCTAGACTCACCTGTGTATCGATGTGTGGTTCTTCAACAACCATAGAAACAGAATGTCTGTCTGTAGGACAAAGGAACGCTGAATTTAATTTATTTATTTTACAGTAATATTTCTTGATTATTAATTTATTAGAAAGCTCAGGTTAAATGCTGATGCACTGCTAGTTAACAAAGTGCCATTAAAAACATTTTCTCATTTAAATTGAAAGTAAATGGAAATATTTATGAAAAAGGCATGTTCTTTGGGGCCAAAGGCGGAGATCGGAAACATCATTGCTTGCAGATTAACTTACTCTCATCAGCTGGTGCCGGGGAGTGGAGCTGCCTGGGACCCCGTTCTCTCCCTGATACGAAACAACAATATTTCAGAGGATGTAATCCACTAAAAACTTTATCTTTTATTGCTGAAAGTGCAGACCAGAGTTTTGAAGACTTTAAAGCAATTCTTACCTTTCTGGCATTTTTACACTTTTCTTTTGTAATCTTAAAATGCTCCTAATAAGCGTATGGCACACTCAAATGTAAAAGAAATCCACCAGGTGTTGGAACTCGTCAATATTCCATTCTCATATATTTCTGATAAAAGTCTGACCAATCATTTTCTTCGGTCCGAATAAAATGATTTGCCGAGCTTCCTGTCTGTCATCCGTCACCGCGTCCCTTCCAGTTGCCTACCGCTGTCACCACTTGCAAGTCGTGCGCCTCTCTGGCAGAGCAGCAGAGCGGTAGAGACAAAACAGGTACTCAACAAAGTTAGCCTGCCAATAAAACAGCTGCAACTGCTCCTGATTGAATGACTAACGTTATCGGGACAATTCTGGTGAGGTAAGATGTTATGACAGCAGTTTTGCAAGAAAATATGTATGAATTCTGCCGAAAAACGACGCATCTCACTGTAAACAAACAGGCGCTGAAATGCTATAATTACTACTATAATAACGTTAATGGTAGTTTGTCAGACGTTACGAGGGCATTTTATTTTGCACCACATATAGAATTGAATATTATGTATTTACTGTTGGTTAGTTTTCACTAACCGGTGCCTCTGAATCTGACTCCATTGCCCGTTTCAAGATGCTTTCACGACCTTGAAACAAATTTTTCGCACGACGACAGATTACATTCAAAGTCTCAATGCAAAGACGCGAATACGCGCGAGATTCGCGTCTTTGCATTGTCTTTGAATGTAATCTGTCGTGCGAAAAATTCGTTTCGCGTCCGGTGTGAAAGCAGCTTCATTCTCGCTGCTCACTTTCTCACCGCACGCGTCAGGGGAGGAGGGGAGCCTCAGAGGTCAGGCAAGGGGAAGAGGGTGGGACTTTGGAGGGAGGCGGAGTTGTTAATGTTCAAATTTTTACTAAGTGCTGTGCCACATGCCAGAAAGGTAAGAATTGCTTTAAATAAAATAAGATGCAAATAGATGCCCTAATTTTAAATTATTTCAATTATAGGACTTCCTTGCCTTGAGAAGGATATGAAAACTAAAAACATGTTAGGTACTAGATTGCAGTCTAGTATTCAGGCAGTGACACTACAACAAAGGTTAAAGCATCACAGAATATGGATTATAGTGCTCAAAAATTTAATTCTGTGGCCTCTAGTCTTCTTATATCACACATTCATTGGGCCTCATGTGGCAACATTCTCTCAAAATTCCCTTTGATCGTAAACTGGAGGCACATGGCCGATTGTTTGTAATTAGCATAGGTAATGTCCGCTAATGCCCATCATCTGTTTGCAGATTATGTGGTCCTGTTGGCTTCATCATGCTGTGACCTCCAACGCACACTGGAGCGGTTCGCAGCTGAGTGTGAAGCTGTCGGAATGAGGATCAGCACCTCCAAATCTGAGGCCGTGGTTCTCTCCCAGAAAAAGGTGGATTGTCCCCTTCAGGTGAGGGGTGAGTTTGTTACCCCAAGTGGAAGTGTTCAAGTATCTCTGGGTCTTGTTCACGAGTGTGGGTAGAATGGAGCGTGAGATTGACAAATGGATCGCTGCAGCGTCTGCAGTGAAGCGGGCGTTGTACCGGTCTGTTTTGGTAAAGAAGGAGCTGAGCGTAAAAGCGAAGCTCTTGATTTACTGGTCAATCTACGTTTCAGCCCTCACCTGTGGTCATGAGCTTTGGGTAGTGACTGAAAGAATAAGATGGTGAATACAAGTGGCTGAAATGAGCTTTCTCCGTAAGGTGGCTGGGCTGACCCTTAGAGATAGGGTGAGGAGCTCAGACATCCGGGAGCGGCTCAGAGTAGAACCGCTGCTCCTCCGTATCGAGAGGAGTCAGTTGAGGTGGTTCGGGCATCTAGTCTGGATGCCTCCTGGATGGCTTCCTTTAGAGGTTTTCCAGGCATGTCCAACTGGGAGGAGCCTCGAGGCAGACCCAGGACACGCCGGAGGGATTATGTCTCCCGGCTGGCCTGGGAACCACTTGGGGTCCCCCAGGTAGAGTTGGAGGAAGTGGCTGGGGAGGGGGGCGCCTGGGCCTCTCAGCTTAGTCTGCTACCCCTGCGACCCAGCTCCGGATAAGCGGAAGAAGATGGATGGATGGATGGATGGATGGATGTCCACTAAACACCATATAAGGGCAGGTGTTTTGCCATGTGCGAATAGTCGACTTTGGCACAACAAGTGGAGAGGTGCCACTGAAAAAAGGTTGCAAGAAGAACAACTTAGGCAGCCATGCATCCATTCTCTATACCGCTGCTCCCTCACTAGGGTTTTGGGGGAGCTGGAGCCTATCCCAGCTGACTCTGGGCGAAAGGCAGGGACCCACCCTGGACTACACACCATTCACACACTCGTACCTATGGGCAATTCAGCATCTCCAATTAGCCTGATATGCATGTCTTTGGACTGTGGGAGGAAACCGGAGTACCCAGAGGACAACCATGCGAACACGGGGGAGAAAATGAAAATTCCATACAGAACGACCAAAGGCTGGATTCAAACCCACGCTCTTCCTGCTGTGAGGCAGCAATGCTGACCACTGCACCACCCAACCATTCCAAATGGTTTCTTGTCAGAAAAATACTTCGATCGAAATTTTAATTATTGGAAGCTGTTCATTTTCACAACGATGAGAGAGCACATGAACATACTCCACAATAAACAAAGAACAACTGGATGCTTTTTTCATGGCTCAACAGAATTTGCCGTTGGCCATAGTGGACCACTTCCTGGAGCTTCTGCTTATCATGGGTACAGCTCATGTAAACTGTATTAACGCCTTTGCACAGAGGCCAAATCAGGCTATTTATGCGTTATCCTATTTAAAGGCTTTATAATTCAAGATTTGAGCTTCACAGAAAGGGAAATGGCTTAAATGATACAAGACCCTTGTAGCATTTAAAATGCTATCATATTGCTGTTTATTTTCATAAGTTTAGTACAGAATAAGGCCCACAATCACAAAAAATCATTAAAATACAGCATAGAAATTGAAAAAAAAATTGAAAATTGAAAAATGGCTGGGAGTTTAAAAAAAAAATTCCAGGATTATAAACTCCTTGACCACAAGTGTGCTTCATCTGAGTGTGATAGTCAGAATTATCTACTGTTTATGGGCAAAATAAGACAGCTAACCAATATAAATATATGAAATGGTGGCATTCATGAACTAGAGTTAATGTGTTGAATTTCAGAGGTTTGTCGTTTGATTACTTGGCACATTAAAATAGCAAAAATATTTATGGAATGAGAAGTTTATATTTATGAAATGAGAAGTGCCTCTCCAGGCTCGGCGAGCCCTCAAAATTGTGCTTGTTATTATTTAATTTTTACATGAACAAACTGAGTACATCATTGAATGAGATCTCTGCTGGATATTGCTGTGCTGGCAAATTAGTTAATCACCTCATGTATGCAGATGACCTTGTTCTTTTTGCTCCTTCTGTTAAAGGTACCCAGAAACTACTTGATGTCTGTTTTAATTTTGGTTTAAGTAATGATATTGTGTACAACAGTGAAAAATCCCAAGTTATGTTCTTTGATACATTGAAGACTCATAACCCTTCTAAATGCTTGTACTTGGGTCAATCAATCTTGAAGTATGTTTCAAGTTATAAATATCTAGGACATATTATTAATAATACACTGTCTGATGAACTTGATATGAAATCTAAAGTAAGGTGCCTGTATGGTTGGTGTAACATGTTGATCAAAAGGTTTTATTTTTGTTCCTGTGCTATGAAGAAAAAATTATTCTCTGCATATTGTAGTAACATTTACTTGTGTTTCTTGTGGGTTAACTATAAACAGTCTGTCATTAATTCTGTCAAAGTTTGCCTATAATGATGCATTTAGAATACTAAATGGCCTTTTTTTGTTTATTTATGTATTCTGCTGTTTTATATATATGTATGCAATTATTTATTTATTTTTTTTTTTTCTTTTAAAACTAAGGACTTGTATCAAAGAGTGTGAAATAAAGAGAGAATTGAAAAAAATGATGCATTGTCAAATCATAAAATGATCATATCTCGACCACAAATTAATTTTTGACTCATGAAGTTCCATATGAATTAATGATTTTCTAGTGGAATTTTGCATGAGTTTATCAATATAGGCGCAGATGGATATCATTGGTCACCAGTAACCTTTCCAAAACAAAAAATTGCTTTTTCTCCATAATAAAGTTTAGAATTTTGTCCATTTTTCAGTGGAACCCCATCAGCCTGCACCTATAGGCCTCCTCCTTAGAAAAAAAGCTTATTATACAGTCAGAACGTTCACCCACCAGCGGAAAGCGGCAACCACCTCCGAGCACCCAAGCGAAACGCAAGCTTGTATAAAACGCTTTCCTCACCCTATATATTGGCGATTCAATTCCGTATTTTGTGTAAATGTGCTCCTCGAAACAATCAGGTAAAAAGTGTGCAGAACATAACCAATGACTCTTCGGTGGTAGGTCAGAGTTTCCCGTTTCGGCCAGCAGCCATACCACTATTCGATCTGCTCCAGCTGTGTGGCTGAAGCTAAGCAGGTGTGGGCTTGGTCAGTACTTGGATGGGAGACCACCAAGGAAAACCAAGTTGCTGCTGGAAGAGGTGTTGGTGGGCCAGTAGGTGGCGATCTTCCCTCTGGCAGAATAATCCCCAATGCCCCAGTACAGTGACGGGGACACTGTACTCAAGCAGACGCCGTCTTTCTGATGAGATGTTAAACCGAGGTCCTGACTCACTGTGGTCATTAAAAATCCTATGACACTCATCGATAAGAGTAGGGGGTTCCCCGGTGTCATGGCTAAAGTCCCAACCTGGCTCTTTCGACCTGCCACCTAATCATCCCCTGATCCAATTGGCTGTGCAAATTGCCCTCTCCCTCCCCACCTCAACCCCCAGGGCTCCCTTGAAAAAGAGATTTCAATCTCAACGGGACTTCCCTGGTTAAATAAATAAAATAAAAGTTTTGTTGGAGCATACAGCGGCATTAAGGCAGATTTTTTTTGCGCAGGTTCTAATAATGATGGATAATATTGAACCTTGATCATTTGCAGTAAAATTAAGCTGCAGCATGAGAGATAATGAAGACAAATCTGTCTACACTTTACATAGATAAGCTGATTTCCTGGTGTCCAAGTGCGTCATAATATTCGGGACATTGCCACACAAAGTATTTTTTGATTGGCTCAAATATACGAAATGGTGGCATTCATGAACTAGAGTTAATGAGTTGAATTTCAGAGGTTTGACGTTTGATTACTCGGTACATTGAAATTGCAAAAATATTTATGGAATGAGAAGAACATGTACTTTTATTAGGTATGAGCTGAAACAAATGTTTTCTTTGCCTTTAATGAAAAAAATAGTTATATTTAAAAAAAAAAAACCTTTTAAAAATCTTATTAATTTTTGAGGAGTTTACTGATATTAACTGGAGATGATACAGGTGGGAACCCAAAGAGGTTGACATGTATGCTATTACAGATTCTTTCTGTTCCTAAATTGTAAAAATATGTTTCCATGCATTGGACATACAATTTGTGGACTGTATAAATGGGAAGTTTTTCTCTTTTCGCTTTCGACCACTCGTAAAATTTTCTCCTACCTAAGAGAAGAGCAAAAACAAGAAAACATTGATGAATCCCAGACATCAGTGGGTACTACAAACATAAGAGAAAATCACCAGTACAAAAAAAAAAAGAGAAAATTGGTTTGTATATCGCTTCTTGCATGAGGCCCATTGTTTCATAAATCTAATTTTCTGAAGTACTGAATGACAGAGCGATACATCTTGATTTTCCTCGGCCAAGACTGAAGCTAGGGCAATGATCGGGACGTTTGTGTAGAGAAATGTTTGATTTTGACATGCATCAAATGAAATCCCGTATTTGATAGTGCCTTACCTCTCTTGTGCTTCAGTCGGATCATCAAGATTATGATCAAGACACCGGCCAGAAGAATCATAATACACAAGCCAATGAGCACAGCCACAGGAACTGGTCATTAGGGGGGAGAGACATTAACAGCCAGAGTTTAATGCTGAGTAACATGAGTGGCACATCAAACCAGGACAAGTTAGCATTAATGTTACAGCTCCCAGAACCACTTAAAATACACTGAAGATTCCAGAACGTCGCTCCAACATTCTAATTCCCTCCAGCTTCGCGATCCTTTTAGTCTTATAAACCGTGTCGGTTGGTGAACCGAATAGCCACACCCAACAAATTTCTTCTGGATAAATCTCATAGTATCAGAGACCAGTAGCAACTGGCAAAGATGACTCACCCTTTCCATGGTCCGAATCATCAATATCAGCCACATCTGTGTCAGAAAAGCAAAATTTCAGTAACTGTGCTTTTTTCCCCCATAATATAGGATTCTTAGATGAAATTATTCATCATTATCCATCAAGAGGAAAGGAATGATTGAGTGACAAGAGTAACTTGGCTTATTGTTACTTGATATTGAAAGAGTGAGAGAAAAGTGGCAGGCAGAGAGAGAGAGTCAATTATGCTCATCATTATAAGTGACAGCAATAGAGAGAAATTATTACTGAGTTAATACCACCAACACTGAGATTATAGATTATTTTTTGGCATGGTTTATTCTCTGCCAAAATTTTCACAAAATTTTCAATTCCCACAAGTATTTTGGTCAGTTTAGTTAGTTTTCTTGCTCCTTAGTTAAAAATAGCTTGTATCTGCCCAATAGCTTTGAGTTTAACTCCAATTCTTACTAAACTTCGCACACAAGTAGGCCTTGGCCCATAGCAGAAATCCATTGTTTTTTGTTAAGGTGGGTCAAAGATAAAAAAAAGATATAGTTCAAAAGAAAAATGGCCATAGCCTTCCTTAGAATGGTCTGATTGTCTTGAAACTAGACTAATTCAATTCTCCTTCCAACACTGCATCATACAAACCCCAATTCCAATGAAGTTTGGACATTGTGTAAAACGTGAATAAAAACAGAATACAATGATTTACAAATCCTTTTCGACCTATATTCAATTGAGTACACTGCAAAGACAAGATATTTAATGTTCAAACTGATAAACTTATTGTTTCTTTGGACATATTCACTCGTTTTGAATTTGATGCCTGCAACAAGTTCCAAAAAAGCTGGGACAGGGGCATGTTTACCTCTGTGTTACATCACCTTTCCTTTTAACGATACTCAATAAGTGTTTGGGAACTGAGGACACTAATTGTAGAAGCTTTGTTGGTGGAATTCTTTCCCATTCTTGCTTGATGTACAACTTCGGTTGTTTAACTGTCCGGGGTCTCTGTTGTCGTATTTTGCGCTTCATAATGCGCTACACATTTTCAATGGGAGACAGGTCTGGACTGCAGGCAGGCCAGTCTATTACCCGCACTCCTTTATGAAGAAGCCACACTATTGTAACGCATACAGAATGTGGCTTGTCATTGTCTTGCTGAAATAAGCAGGGAGGTTGCTGAAAAAGACGTTGCTTGGTTGGCAGCATATGTTGCTCCAAAACCTGTATGTACTTTTCAGCATTAATTGTGCCTTCACAGATGTGCAAGTTACCCATGCCATGGGC